AAACGTTCAAGCGATATAGAGTATAAACAATAAATGATCGTAATAGAGCTGCGTGTCCAAGGGTATCGATTCTATACTGATTTATTCAATTACATATTTACTATAATTTATTCGTTATCTCGAATAAAATGTCGAATAAAATATAAAGATTCATTGAAGCCGACGTACGTAAAAATTTTAGTACAATATTGTCCAACAATGGCAAATTATCTTTCATCCAGTACACAGAAAATTTACCAATTTAGTTCCATCGACACGGTAGACAAATTTACAGTTGTTCTTTTTCTTTCACTTTCTTCTCTTTCGTTTAACTAAAACGTATATTTTATTGCAGGTATTGGGTCATGTTAGCATATCGTCAATAGGATTGGACAGCAAGAGAAGAAAGAGGAAGAATAAGAAGACTAAAAACGAAAGGCTAAAGAAGAAGATAAACGAAAAAGAAAATGAAATCGTCCCGCCGCACTGCGACTCACCCGAGATTCGCTCCCGTGGGGATCGCTGGCTTCTTCGTCCCCTTTCTCGAGCTCGCATTCTTGAGCCTCTCCACCTGGGAGGTCCTTCTCACGGGCATCTTTTCCGGCGACGCGTCCCCCGGGAGTCGATCCAGTTGGCTGCGCCTCTCGAGATCGAGCGGTCCAAACCTGGACGGGATCCGATTGCGCTGTGCCGACTCGCTGTCAATCACCTCCTTTATGTTTATCTGCAAACACCGAGACTTCCATTCTCATTTCTCCTCGCTCGCAGTCGCATCCCCTCGGCAAAGCTACAATGGCTCACCTCGTTATCGTTGCCCCGATCTACGCTGTCCTCGGTCCGGCTAGCGCCACACGAGTCGCGTAAGACGCTCTCCCTGTAGATCCCGCGCCCGGACAGATTGTCGCGTTGTTGCTCATTACGGCTCGTCCGCCTGGTGCCGATGATCGTTCTGGCATCGGTCGCTGGCTTATGCGCCCGTTTGTCCAGAGGCTCAAGAGGGTAGCTTTTGTCGATGCCCTTCGTCTGGCGCTTCTCATCGAATATCTGCCGCGCCTGAAAGAAACGCGGTCGACCTTAAGTAGTCAAGGCAAGCAACTTTCTTTTACGAGGCTCTAGATCTCCAGTTATTCTTCAATTATGGATGAGGATTCATTTGCCAACTCAACTGTGCTATACATTTCTTTTTCGTTCCGCGTCTTATATATACACGTGAACTTTTAACTAAGAATTTTTCACCACGACATTTAAAGCCAATAGTCTTGCTGCTATTAATGGCTCTTACAGACTTTTATCAATTATTCCTTGTTAGAAGTCTGATTATACAATATTATATTTATTTCTTTTCTGATGCAGAGCAATTGTAGAGTATTAATAATAAATAATAATAAATAATAAATAATAAATATTAATAATAAATAGATGAGTGGTGACAAGAAATGTGAAAGCGAAGTATCTTTGCACAAAACCAACAGAAGAGAAATAGAATTAAATGGTCCTTTCATTGAACATTATTTTTGTAAACATTAAAGAAAAAAAGTTATTTTTGTGTTTTATACTATTCAATACATTTAAATGCACATTTCAACCAATTATTTTTTTCTCTCATTTATCTCTCCATATTTTAAATAAATCATTGATAAATTTTAATTTTTATTTAAATTTAAATTTTTAATTTCATAATACAATCAAATTTTTAATGGCAAGATCTTGAATGATGATTGTTTTTCAATTAAATAAAAGTATTACTGCATTCTAAAAATAAGGAATTTATATTTTTCTAGTTTTATTATATTCTTACAGCTTTTATAATATTTCTTTTTTCTTTTGCTTATTGTATAAAACGAGTTTTATTTAGCCTAGACTGGAAATGTGTATGTGTGTACGGGCGCTTGCAGTGATTGTCAGAAAAAAAAGTGAAAAGACTTTAAAAATTCGATGAGTATAATTAAGATGAGAGAAAAATGGAAATTAATGATAATGATGGAAACCGTGTAAAAATAATCGATGTAATTAGTCGTTGGTATGTGTAGGATTGAAAAATCCAGGGTGTACAGTCCCATTAGAAAGCTCATATAAATTAAGATAAAATATAGTTTGACATGCTTTATCGAATATCGTAAAATTGAATTTTTGTTTTTACACAGCCGCCGCAGTTCGTTCTTCCGATGAGATTATTGTCACAACGAGAAAGAGAAAAACGACACTCCCGACTAAGCATCAGGCCGCAAATCCATAAGCATTTTTCAATGGCCACCGTAAAATCCACGAAGCAATGGTGTGAATATGCGCAATACGTTAGCATGAGTGCAAGCACCAAGGGCACGCACGAGAGAAAGAGTCGTCGGTCTCTTGTTCATAAAGAAATAACGGCAAACCGTGCATGCGCGAGCCCATGATGCGAACAGCTCGACATACTTTGCCGCTATTGCTGATGAAGCTCTCGTAGTTGGAGATGTCCGGGTCATTGGAGCGGGTGCTACCCCTGAGGGCGATCTGGTGCGCGCGCTGCTGCTGCTGATCGTAGAGCTGCAGCAGCTTTTGTTCCTTCTCCTGGAGCTGTCGCTGTTGGAAACGGGCCTGCAACGGAGCGACGGCTGGGTAAGGGCAGCGCAGTGTCCACGGGCACAGCTCGACCCGCGACATCCGCTGCCACCGAGACACGATGTACGTGTGCCGTGCCGACCCACCCGGTACACCCTCCACTAGCCTCCGCAATCACCCGCAATCCCACTGTCCCTCCCCTACTCAACGATCCCCCGTACCGTCAACCCCTATTCCAATCCCCTCGACACTATGGCATCGATTTCTCCGCGTAACCTACATCCACGACTGACTACGAGTTTGCTAAACCCATCGCCTATCGCTCGTCCACGTACGTAACGCTTCAGAAAACAGGTTCGACGCTTTATTTCCCTTTTCCTCCCTAACCTCGTCACCTATCCTCGCATTCGCCCTCGTGGCCACGACTCCATTCGTTGAGCGTCGCGACGACCCGCACGTAAACATTTGTTATAATCCATGGAAATTGGAAATATCCGATTGAGCATTGAGTAAGGATATTTCGTCGACCGGGTCTTCCTGAGACGACAATTTTCTCACCCGAACCTACACTCTTAGCTAGACCTCTTATTTAACGTACGATTTAAATATAATATTCCCTTAATCATCACAAGTCTTGTAGGATGAAGCTGAGACATACCTTCGTAATGAATATTTGCTCTCTATAATTAAGCAATTAAATTAATTGCCTTGGAAAGTGAGACTGTAAAGATTGGGAGTGGATTGCTTTCTTTATAATTTATTCATTATTCATCGGTAGGGTTTTTCCTGAAATTTTAGCCATCGGCTGATCAATTTCCCCATCATTTACAGAGCTTTCAAACTTATAATTTCTTTGAAAATGCTTAAAAATAATTTATCAAATTATTCTCATTGAAAAGTACTTTAGCCTTATTAAAATAATTACCAACGAACTTTTCATTATTATTTCTTATTTCCTATTAGTATTACTTTTCTAATTGATCTAATTGGCCAAACGCTATTCCTTCATTAAATTGCATAATTATTTATTTACCCATATTGACTTGCTTGTAATTGTTTTGAATATAACGTTCGAATAGTTTATTTTTCTTATGTTAGATTGTCGATTTATAAGCCAACCAGCATTTAATGGAATTATTTATCGAATTATTATTTATCGTTCTTATTTATAGAACAAAATATTGCGGAAATGCTTGTGACTCATGTAACGTACTTATATAGATTAATTACTGCAGCTTTAATGTATATTTTAGTGCTCCCGTTTGAGTATTTTTCATGGTCGAACGGAAGATTTACATAAAGCAAAACTGTTACTTTGATAACTAATTAAATTATTTATAAGATTACTTGTGAAATCATTTTTAAACAAAATATTATTGAAATTGTAAATTATTAATACGGCAATATGCACATATATACCTACATATTTGGCATATGAATTATATTATGCACATAAATAAATAAACTTCTTATATAAATATTAAAAATAAATATCAAGAAATTTTAATGCACATCAATATTGTCTAGGCGACGTTGTATTGAATAATATGCCAAGTTGTTCAAGACTAATAGCTATTAATTATTGGCTAAATGCCGATTATAATAAGCCATTGTTTTTAATTATAAGTATTATGTTGAAATGTGTTACTAAAAAAAAAAAAAATAATTATTTTTTCCGAATTATCTATGTGTAGGTATGGTAAGTTTAACAGACTTTGACATGAATTCAAGGGATTTTATGATTTTAGAGAACTGCGGCAAAAGGTTATAAAATATAATGCATATAGAAAAATAAGGTATAAATGTCCATTACTAGTAATATAAATTTTGATTTGCGGCATTAAAGCGGAAACATTGCCGATAATCTCGGAAATATATGAGTTTTTATATTAATTTTCCCTTGGATAAATTGCAATATTTTTTATATTCATGCAGCAACTTTAGCCACACTAAGCTAAAAGATTTAAAAGAGACCGATAATATTATATCTTATGATATATTTAAACTTTTTTCTGATAATTTAACGTAATAGATAGTTAATAACGGATATCAAGATAATAAAGAAAAACTTTATTTTTGAATTTTAACAATCGAACAGTCATAACGTAAAGTGGAATCAAGTATTAACAATTTAATGTCCATTGATCTATTATACATAAAAAACAGAATTGCTAATATCGTATAAGCTTTTTTAATAATATTTATAAGAGATTTTTATCATTTTCATTGACTTTCTTATAAATTAACCATTGGTACTAAATGAAACGTAATAGTAATTTTAATTCATAAGGGCTCTTCTACATATACTTAGTAAGATTAAATTAAGATTATTTGGATATATAAATAATTATTTTAGTTCATTTTTACTTAAATAATTTAAACAATTTCTAATATATCTTAATATATTCTCTTTATACATATTTTTTTCTTTTTGTTTATTTGATAACAATTAAACGATTAATTATGCTCTTTTAAATATAAAGTCACATTCATTTTATCAGTTTGTTTTAATAGTAAAAGTTAAATATTGTGATAATAACAATGACTTTTTAAAGTATTTAAACATTTCTGAAATCACATTGTTAAAAGTTATTGATGTTCGAGTTTTAATTAATAATATTTGCGTAATATGCAGTTACAACATTGCAGTTAATGCAGTTGTAATGTGTTCATTTTTATAAAAATAATGCAAAATTTAAACATTTTAATTATATTATATTATTAATAAATTCATCTATTTTTAAATCTAATGTAACGTAATTCAATTGAAGCAGGCGAGTTTTTTTTTATGGAAATAGTTAATTATAATTTATTCATTAAAATCATGTATTCATTATATTTAAATCTAAAGTACAGAAAAGTTTATGCACTTAAAAGCTTATTCGAACTAACTTCTACGTTATATTATAATTATCTTAGTACAAGATTTAAAGAAAAGGTAATAATTTAAAAATATTTTTTTCATTTGTTAAAGTATACATTGTGATAATTAAAATCTTACTTTTAAAACAATAAAATTATTAATTTAGTAATTGCAAAGTTGAGATAATAAATTATATTTTGTAGACAACGTAAAAATTATTAATAACTTTCAATGATTTATATGAATTTTAAATCAGCAAAACTTAAATAATTATAATAATATATCAAATTATAAAATTTTAAAAAATATCTATGAAATATTGTTTAAAGTATGTATGAAATTGTAAAAAGTAACTGCTTTTCATAATTTAATCGATTGTATGAAACATAAATTATCTATCCTTAAAGAAACTTTTCGAAGTTCAAGTTTTTTTTTTAACTATAAAATTTTGAAAAGCTACTCGCTAGTTAATTTTTATTATATTATATAAATCTACAGTTGTAAAAACTAAATATACGTTAAAATAATTTTTTTAACTACATAGAAATGTACAAAATATACACACCCACATATACACGCACCTATATATATATATATCTGTTAAGTGTTGCTTATAAAAATAAAAAATAAAAGTATATAAGTCTATAATTTGTTAATGAAAAATTATTTTAACTATTTATGAACTTAAAAATTAAAAATACAGAAATACAAGTCATTTATAATTTTAGAAATATATATCTTTTAAATAATTGTATTTCAAGAAAAGGTAATAATATAAAATAAATAGGTAATAATAGAAAATAAAATATCGATAATATTTGCATCAGACGTATGTGTGACATTAATTGTATTTATTTTATTTATTTTATTCGATATTCCTGAAATTGTTCTATGTTAAACGGAAAGTACCTTAAAATTGAAATACAGCAATATTAAATTACGAAGAAAGTGATTTGAGTAATTATATTTATTATTATAATTACACAATATTAATGCTGCGTAGTTTAAATGTAATTATATTTTACCGTTTTGTTACCAGAGGACTTGGTTTCATAAAGTTATAACTTATAGGCTGCATTATCCGATCCTATCGATTATTCAACAATTTTTAAGATATTGATACGAGAGAAAACGTCTGTGTGATTGTAAAAATTCAATTTCTTAAATTTTTTTTTTTTTTTTTTTTTTTTTTTAGAAATTGAAAAATTTTGCTGTATATATTGCTCAAATCAAATGATAGGAAATGATTTTAGCGATAGGTAAGCATTTTTGTCAGATTTCTGTCGGCTCTGAAAAATTTAGCGCCCGAGATTTATGACTTTGCTCAACTGGAGTTAAAAATCGTCGAAAGTACAGTTTAAATTCCCAACATTACCAATCCAATCCTCATACCGTTTCTCGCGCGTTATATTTCGTCCCTGGGGTCATGTAAAGTGCGCGTTTCTTCAAGCGGCAGATCTCGAGCTTACGCCAAGGTCTTCGATTGGCAAATCAAGCGACGCAAGAAAGGCCCGCGTAGGCCGCGAAACGGCCTCGACGCTCGACCTCGAGCTTCGCGCTCTGGCTCAATCGTCCGAGATAACTCCGGGATGCCGATAGTTAGAGTTCCCGCCTGGTTTTGAATAATTCATAGGCTCACTGGGATATCGATCATTGGGCGAATCGACGCAAAGGGCGTCCGATCGATCCTCGTATTTACCAGTAGCTTGAAGTTCGTGTACGTAGCGGTGGAGGCCGTGAACTCCTGGGCAATCCTGCTCGCGTTGATGGATGGTCGTCGCCAGCCCAGGTACTTTGGACGTGTTTCCATACTTCGATGAGCCGATCGATCACGAGTAGCTTGAGCGATCGCATAATTCCGAGGCAACAAACCGTGGAGGCTCGATCTCCTGGCGAGCTTCGTACCCTGCGTGCGACTTCCGCGTCGCGAACATGAGCCACGACAACTGGGAGGAGGCGTACCGACGTCCCCATCCCTTCCCGCCGATCGACGCTGTTAACGAAATCGTCATGGTGACGCGCGACTCGCCCTTTAGGGATTTTGGATCGATGTCTCGGTCACGCGCTACGGGTCCTGCGCGATTCTGCGGGAAGTGACATAAGCGAGAGCGCGGATCGCGCTTGAGAGGCCGAGCGTCGCGGATACAATCCTCCAACCCCGGACTCACTCGAAGATTAAGATCCCCGAGTACGGCTCTCACCTGCAGTAGCTGCAGGCGCGAGGATGTCTGAGGCGCCGTCATCGCACCGATCCTCCACTAGATTATTCTGACGATCGTCGTCCTTCGGCTGGCTGCAGCTCCTGCGAATGGAGATTTTGTTAGAGTCGAAGATGAAGGGTTCCCCGGGCGTTCGCGCC